AGGGCAGCTCCCGGCCACGCCAGCCCCTGCCGCCCTGCCGTCTGGATGTGGAGGGGGCTCAGGCAGCTGGGGGGGTTTTTGGGAGAGGGGTGTTGCGTTATCCATCCCGCTAGCAGCCCGAATGTGCCACCGTGCAGCAGCACGTGCTTCTGTACCTGCGGCCTCTCACGGAAGCAAAATTATTGACTTTGCTGCAAAAACCCACCCGAGCGGCTGCCAGCGCCGGTAAGTCGTGGCAGGCTCTGACTCACAGTAGGGTTTTGGTTTTGTACGACTCACCCTTGGAGGCACCAAGAGCCTTGGGGTGATGGCCGGGACGAGCGAGGCCGTGTACGGCCGCAGATAGAGCATCACCGCAGCACCAACCCTGGCTGGCATGGGGGTTGAGGGGCCTGAAACCAGCTTTGCCGTGATGGTGGGGCTGAGGCAGCCGGGATCTGGAGGAGGGAGCTGCCATTTTCAGGTGGTTACTTTTAGAAGCAGAAGTGCAGGGTAAGATCTCCTCCAAATGTTGCTGAATCCAGAGCCAACCCTCTTGGCGGCTCTGCGGTGCTGGGTATCGGCTTGCTAGGAGATTTTTTTCTCCCCTTGAGCGTGCTGCGTGTCTTTGGGTTAGCGAGAGGTGGCAGCCCGGCAGGGTGTACCTCAGGCCCCAACAATGGGCACTTCCACCTTGAGAAGCTTCCCAAGGACGCTGGGGATGGGTCTTGGTGGTCGGGGCAATGCTGAGGTCTCTGTGTCCCCATTCCCCACTGCAGGAGCTGGTGAGGCCGTGGCCGTGAGCGTCCATCCCTTCCCTTTTCCCTCCCCTCCCCTGGTGTCCCGGCCCGCCGCCGGCGGGTCTCCGGCACCACACAGCCATGACGACCTCGGCGCTGCGCCGGCAGGTGAAAAACATCGTGCACAACTACTCGGAGGCAGAGATCAAGGTGCGAGAAGCCACCTCCAATGATCCTTGGGGACCCCCCAGCTCCCTGATGTCGGAGATCGCTGATCTCACCTTCAACACGGTGGCCTTCGCCGAGGTCATGGGCATGATCTGGCGGCGGCTGAATGACAGCGGCAAGAACTGGCGTCACGTCTACAAAGCCCTCACCCTCCTGGACTACCTCATCAAAACTGGCTCCGAGAAGGTGACCCACCAGTGCCGGGAGAACCTCTACACCATCCAGACACTGAAGGACTTCCAGTACGTGGACCGCGACGGCAAGGACCAGGGCATCAACATCCGAGAGAAGGTGAAGCAGGTGATGGCGCTGCTGAAGGACGAGGAGCGGCTGAAGCAGGAACGGGCGCACGCGCTGCAGACCAAGGAGCGCATGGCCCTCGAGGGCATGGGCAGTGGTAGCCACCAGGTTGCCTATGGCCGCCGTGCATCACCCTATGGCGACGACTATGGCCGGGCACGGGGCTCGCCCTCCTCCTTTAACTGTGAGTGTTGCTGGCGGCTCGCTTGGGCTCGCTGTGGGGTGGAGGCAGGCCTTGCGTTCCGTTTGCACCCGCCTGGTGCCCATCGCTCCCCGCCACCTTTTGGGGGGGATGGCAGTGAAGCCCGGCTCCATCCTGCACCGCGGGCAGAGGGTTGGCTGGGCCAGTGGTGAACCCCAACAGTGGCGGCAGCTGGTGGTGCCCCGAGCCTTAAACCCACAGCTCATTCGTGGTAGGGAGCTCTAATGTGGGGCTATGTCCCATGGCGAAGCCACGCTGCGGGCATGGGGATGGGGCCTGGGGGAGGCTGCTGATGTGTTCCCCCAAAATATCCCAGTCCTGACGCGGCTTCTTCCCCTTTTCCTCTGTTAATCTCCCAGCATCATCCTCATCCCCACGGTTTGCCTCCGACCTGGAGCAAGCGAGGCCCCAGACGACGGGCGAGGAGGAGCTGCAGCTGCAGCTCGCGCTGGCCATGAGTCGGGAGGAGGCAGAGAAGGTAAGGGGGGCTCTGCCCACCCCGGGGCGTGCAAGGCCGGGCATCTCCCCGCACCTTGCCTTGTCTGCAGGCATGGTGGGTCATTTCCCTGGGAGGAGGGAGGATTTTGGGGGCTGCCCAAGGTTGCACCTGCAACCGCACCAAGCTGCGTGTGCTGTGCCCGGCACCCAAATTCGCCAGGGAGCATATGGAGGCACGGGCTGTCCCTGCTCCCCGTCCTCGTACCGACAGGGACAGCACCAGGCTGAGCCCCATCCAGCCTCTCAGACCCCAGGGTGAATTGGGGGAGTCTTCTGGATTCACTACAACCACCACAACCACCCCAAAACTGGTTGCCCTCTTCCATCGATGTGGTTGCCCTCTTCCATTAAGGGCTTCTGGTCTAAGGTCTGCAATTTCTTTTGCCTTCCCATGGTGATTTTGGGAGGCAACACCTCGCCCAGCACGGCAGTTTGCCGGCAGCGTCCCCGGGCTGTGTGCCGGGTTGGGAGCTCAGCAGGCCTCGATGCTGCCGGGCTCTCTCCCACCGGCTGGTCCTTTCAAACCCAGCTAGAAGGAACGCTGGAAAACAGCGTGGGAAGCACCTCGCCTCGGGCAGGAGCTGAGCAGGGATGCAGGCAGCAAGCGAGCCACTGTCCCCAGCCGTGGTGAAACGTCCCCCGGGGCTGTCCCCTCTCCTATCTGCTGGCCATGGCCCCTTTTCCACCGGGGACGGCTTATTTGCGCACCGGCTGAGATTGCTGCTGGCTGGCACGGCCCGTGCGGAGCACGTGGGTACGGCCGGGCACACAAAGTCAGAGGGACGTGGTGACCGAGGGGCTGTGTGCCTGGGCTGGTGGGTCCCCCCCCGGGGGCTGGCACTGAGCACCGTGAGCTCGCAACTGCCGGGGCAGGGGATGTGCTTCGGAGATGGCGCTTGCCGCTGCCCATCTTCCCTGCCCGATGGCTCTTTTGGAGACGGAGCAGAGCGTATATCCCTATTTTTGTCCTGGAATTGGAGTATTTATAGCTTTCACGTGCTGCTGCGATGAGCATTGTAGGAACACACTCTTGAAAGCGTTGCCTGTTGGAGTCCATCCGGGCTGTGCACGCTTGCACATGCTTGTGCAGGTGTGCATGCTTGTACACCCCCACCGAGGTCCCCGTTCCCAGCCCCGGTTGGCCCCGCGCTGCCGGACGAGTGTTATGGGGTGGCGATCAGGGCTGCCGTAGTGGTATGGAGACAGTCTCCCTAAAATCTGCCTCAGGTCTGGGTGCTTCTCCCCCAGCAGAGTGGGGCCAGACAGGATTCCTGAACGGAGGCCAGCCAGCGTTGCAAACCCTCCTCCCCAGCTGGTGCTGGGGCAAAGGGGCTCCTGATTGATCCCCTCCCCTATGCCGACTGCACTGGAGTCCCCAAAAACCTCCTGGGGGAGATGCTGGCTGCCTAATTTAGGGTCGTCCCAGCCTAGATGCAGTGGCAGGCGATGGGGCAGGGGAAGGAGCTGGAGCAGTGGCTGCAGGGGAGCCTGAGTGGGAGCTGGTTCAAGAGCACAGGGGCCGCGGGCTGGGGGTCCGCAGGCAAAGCCGGCTGGACAGGCGCAGAGATGCTGCACGGGCAGGTGAGGGGCCGCAGGAGAGGTGATGGTGAGGCTGGAGACCTCCGAGCAGTGCCGTGAGCTGAGAGCAAGCTGAAATGTCACCCCATTTCCTCTGTTGGCAGAAGCCACTTCCTCCAATTTCCAGTACAGATGAAGAAAGACAATTGCAGCTAGCGCTTGCGCTGAGCAAAGAGGAGCACGAGAAGGTACCTGTGCCCCGCAGCCCCGGGTGCGCCTCTCTCTTTGCACTTGGGCTTCTCTCTGGGGTGCTGGAGCCCGAAACGGTGCCTTGCTGCGGTGCCCGCTTTGCTTTCGCTGCTCCGGGGCTGTCTGCTGAGTGCTCTCCTGGCGGGCTCGGCCCCACGGGAGCCATCTGCTCGGACGCTGGGACTTTTCGGGATGTGGTGGCAGCTCCTGTGCTGGGTCTGACTCCTGGAGAAGGGGCTGGCTGCAGGGTTGCTGAGCTCATGGGTCCCGTCCCTTGTCCCGGCAGGAGGTGAGGGCTTGGCAAGGGGAGAACTCCCTGCTGCAGAGAGCCATGGAGGAGACTGCCCAGGGCAGGGAGGAAGAGGAGGAAGAAGATAAGATGAAGAAAAGCCAGGTACAGCACTGGGGGCCTGGATGGCCACACAGCCAGCCTTGGGCTCTGGGGCGATCCTGCAGGTCTGCCCTGGGCTTCCCTCACCCCTTTATTCCCTTTCTGTTTGCAGTCCTCTATCCTGGAGCTGGCAGATATATTCGGGCCGGCGCCAGCCCCCTCCAGCCACACGTCTGCCGACCCATGGGATATGCCAGGTAGGGGCACCTCGCAGGCTGCCAAACCTTGGGACAGTGGCAGAAACCTCTCCCTTGCCTCTGTCTCTCCCCAGTCCCCAGGAGCTCAACAGTAAGGGCCTCTTGCTTCTCCTCCCTCCGCTGCCCGGGCCCTTGCGTGCCCGGGTGGTGCTGATGGAAGCCACGGTTCTCCAGGCGCATCCTCGCCGCTCAGCATCCCGCTGTGCCCTGCACCACTCCCCTCTTCCACAGCTTCCCTTCTTCTTTCAGATATGAAACCCAAAGCGGAGC